TGCTGTAGTGCTGTAGTGCTTGTCCAACATGTCGTGCTGGGTGGCAGGGGTGGCTGGGTCTGGGCCTGGTCATGAGCCTCACTGATCCTGACCCACACCTGCACACCTGAGGGGCTAGTCCCTGTGTGCCCCTGGGGATGTGCCATATTTGCATAAGTTCTATGCAGTATCTGACCTGAAATTATTGCACTGCATTTTCAAAAAAGTGCAGGATTGTGTATGTGCATAGGTGTTTTTATTAACCCTCCCCAGCAGAAAGCAATCTAGATACAATATAAAGGCAGAAGTTCTTGTTCTTTGTTAATAAGACTCTGCTGTCTTCTATTAGTGTGCAAATTAAGTTCTGAGTGCTGTTCTGTTCTCTCATTTCTTGCTGGGAAGAGACAGTGTAGCCTTAGCCCTCCCTCTCAGAGATTATTATTACTCAGCAAATAGCTGTTCATGGAAATTACCTATTTTTCAGTCACATTATCATTAAAGATGGAGAGGAGAAACAATATATTGGCAGACAGGACCAACTTGTGTGCAATTCTATCTAAGCCATTAGGAAACAGGCATTAAAAGTTTCAGTCACTTGGCCTGTAATTCAGTGCTTTGGCATATCAGCCATTCTTGTGTGTCTCCTTTTTCAGATGCAGTGTTCAGGTGGCTGAGACCAGTGTTGTCTCCCTGCTGTTTTTTAATGTCCATTGCTGTGTACTGCTGTATTTTAAAAATGAGCAAGTGCTGAGAGAGGAAGGCAGAGACTTTTTTTCTCATGGAATAGCAGTTTCTATGGTAATTTTCAAGAGCTTTGGTTAACTAGAGCTTTGGCAAAGCTGTTGTTCAGTTCACAAGATTAAAAAATTAATTGTCCTTTCAGTCAAAGTTAAAAAACTTACTCTCCTGTAGGTAGATAAGACAGGCTGTGGTACACCAGGAGTAAAAAGCAACTCTAATGCCGCTGAACTGGAAGGAGGACACAGCTGGTGCACCACAATCTTGCAAAATGTCACATGTATATCTGTCATATGTTTTGATCTTGACTGGACTCCCTGGATAGGTCGTAAACCTGGTTCATCACTTTGGCTTGTTGATGGACTCTGTTACTAGGATCCTGCTCTGCTTAATGTTTTCAGAGCCTGCACTTTGTTGGTAAGGACAGTGCTTGTGCTGGGGTTACCCTTGGCTCTCCTCTTGCCCTCCCCCAGGGAGCAGCTAACCCTTTCTGCTCCCTGAAATACAACTGGAAAAAAATCTGAAATTCCAGTTAAGATAATTCTACCAATCAACCTTTATTTCATTCAATCAACCAAATTATGGCTTTTTCAATAACAGTATCACAGAACCATGATATGGTTTGGATTGGAAGGGACCTTTAAAAATCACCTTGTCCAACCCCTCTGCTGTGTGCAGGGCCATCTTCCATTAGATCAGGTAATCCAAAGCCCCACCCAGCCTGACCTTAAACACTTCCAATAGTGGAGCACCCAAAACTTTACTTGGCAACCAGTGTCTCACCACTCTTATAATAACAATAATAATAATAATAACAATAATAACAATGATGATTATATTTCTTACTCTAGTCTAAATATACCCAGTTTTAGTTTAAAACCATTAACTTTTGTCTTGTCATGACAAGCCCTGGAAACAAGTCTCTCTCTTTCTAAGAAGCCCCTTTTATATATTGAAAGACCACATGAAGGTCTCCCTGAGCCTTTTCTTCTCCAGGCTGCATAATCCCAACTGTCTCAGCCTTTCCTCCTAGGAGAGGTGTTCCCACCCCCTGACCATTTTTTTGTGTCTCCTCTGGAACTCCTCTAACAGTTCCATGCCTTTATTGTACTAGGTACCCCAGAACTGGACTCAGTACTCCAGGTGGGGTCTCATCAGACCAGAGAGGAAGAATCACATCCCCTGATCTGCTGGTTGTACTTTTTTGATGCAGCCCAGGATAGAATAGGCTTTCTGGGCTTTGAGTGCACATTGTCAGCTCAGAGCTGATTTTTAGTATACTAATATCCCCATGTTCTTCTCTGCATGGCTGCTCTCAGTCCATTCATCACCCAGCTTGTACTGATGCTGGTGATTGCCCTGACCCATGTACAGGACTTTGCACTTTTCCTTGTAGGCAAAGTTCATGAGAACTTCTTATGGGCCCACTCCTTAAGTGTGTCAAGTTCTCTCTGGATGGCATCACTTCCTCCCAGAGAATCAGCTACACCACTCAGCTTGAAGCCAACTGCAAACTTGCTGAGGGTGAGCTCAGTTCCACTGTGTGATTAATAAAGTTATTAAATAGTATTTCTACTTTTGGATAATGTCTAAATGGAGATTGACAAGTGGTGTACCTCAGGAATTACACAAGGAATGTGAAAACTTCTGGACGATAGGATCCTCTGTTGGCTCTCCTGTTGAGTTGTATGAAAAGTTCTTGATATAGTTTTGACTAGTAAACAGCCACTTATGCAAATTATTCCCTGGTATGGAATACTCAGAAGTTGGCATTGAGTGAATATGATTCACAACTGACACTTTTTCAGGAGGGCATTTTATGTTGTTCTAGTTTGCCTCAGTGGTAGAGAGTAATTTAAGCATTCTTCATTTACTGCTGTTCTTGGAGACAACACACATCTATTTGACTCAAATTCTCCATATGCACACACACTTATGTAGATTTTCTCACATGGTAAATGCAGTTGATTTCCTTAAAAAATTTTCTACTGAGTAAATTTGAATATATAAAGTCAATAAGGTATTGACCTTCATCAAGAACTTCCATGAATCTTAGAGGCAATGAATTAAATGCTCTCAAAGGCACATTTTAATAATTATCCTCCCTCCAGCTGCTCCAAAGTTGTATAAAAAAATCTATTTAGTTTAGTTTCATACCAATGCAATGACACTAGTGCTGTGCCTTCCAAGCTTTACTGCAGCATTCAGTGGGTAATTGTTTTGACAGTAGAATTTACCAAATATTTACTGTATTTTTAGAAGCTGTTGCTCAAATAAGACTGCTTAGATATAACTGGATGCACACCTGACAGTGAGTCAGAACAGCTCTGAGAAGAGAATTTTTAACACAAACATTTTAAATTTCCTTTTAACAGACAGATTTTGTCTTCTACTAACCAGCAACTTAGCCCTGTGTTTCATAAGCATATTGTAATTATGTTAACCATGGTTACAGGATTTACCAGGGGAACTGTAAGCATCAAATAAAATATCCTACAATGACAAAAAGGAGAAGTTTTATATAGATTTTCCTTGTTGGACTATGGATTCACATTCAAATTACCAAGTTCTTTATAACATTTCTAGTAATTCTAGCCAGATTTATTTTTAATTGCATCTATTATTTTATAGAGCAGCATGCATTAGTTTTTTGTTTGATTATTCCTTGTCACTGTGCTACGAAGTCTGCCTTAGTGAAAGAGGAAAGCTAATCTGTTCTATAAATTAAACAACCCCATGTCAGGGAAAGACTTGCTTTGTGTTATCAGGACAATCAAAATAATAGAAGGCAAAAGCAACAGAAGGAATTTCTACCCTCTGCTGGACAGATTGTATCTATTATTTTCCACTCAAATGGATTGAAGTGGCTGGGAAAACAGGTTGGCAGGAACTTTGTGAAGCTGAGCAAAGGCAAATGCAAGTTTCCATATTTGGAACGGAATAACTCCATGCATGAGTAAAGGCAAACCGACTGACTAGAATAAACACCTGTGCATAAACGGACTTGGGGTCCTGGTGGACAACAAGTTGAATATGAATCCGCAATGTGCTCATGAAGTAAAGAAGGCTAACTACATGCCATACTTTAGAAAAAGCATGGACAGCTGATTGAGGAGGAGTGGTTATTTCTGTGTGACATTTATGAGGTTGCATTTGTATGCAGTTGTAGTCTCCACCGCACGTGAAAGGCAATGATCACTTGGTGCAACAGTAGCAGAGGGCTATTAAGATGACTGAAGATTTGAGTACAGGATAAATGAGGAGATGTTAAGAAAGCTAGTTTGTTCAGAATGCAGATGAAAAGTTAAGAGGACTGATGTAATTGCAGTGTTCTGCTACCAAAGAAGTGGTTATAGAGCAAAAGATTCAGACTGATCTTGGAGTTTCACAGTAAAAGGATGAGAGGCAACAGAAGCAAGGAAGAGCAAAGAAAAAAATAATTATATGTAAGGTAATAATTTTCATGAAAAGGATGGCCCAATGGTGGACCAGATTTCCCAGAGAGACTGTGGAAACTCCATTCTTGGAGATACACATTCACAAATTTGCTGAACAAGGTTCTAGGCAACCTGATCTAACTCGGGATCTGGGCCTAACCTCTAAATTTGTCCTGCTCTCAGCAGGAGTTTGGACCTCATTCCTTCTGGAGCAGCCTTTCAGCCTGAGCTGTTCCATCAATCTAGGCTTCTGTAATGAATGTAGACTATTCCAAGATTTTTGTTTTCTAAACTTCATATTTATTTCTATTTTAGTCAAAACACTCACCTAAGCTTTTTCCAAAGGTTGGATGACCCTAGATTTTCCCCTGAAGGAACATTACTGTTTAATATATTTGTCTCTTCTCAGGCAGAGACAGTGCTAATCCTCTGGTTACGAAGACTAATGCTGATTTAATGGTATATCTTAACAAAAAAATATGCAGGGTAAAAAGCAGTTGAGTCAGAATGATATGAAAAACTGTCCAGCTATTCAGGGCAGCATCCTGGGACTTAATCCTTAGCTAACATATAGTAATAGCTAAGCAGCAGCATTTTTAGAATTCATATATAATTGGTTGAGCAAATCCTTTTCCTCATTTCTGCAATTTCAGATGACGTACACAACAGTCAAAAGCACATACTAAATTAATATCTCATATAGATGGTTGCCTTAGAACTGAAATAAAGCTCTTCAGATCCTTACAGGACAAGGAGAGACTTTTAAAGAAGTGAAATATGTGACACACAAATATTAAACCAGGGTGTCAGGAAAAAAAGTAATATTTTTAAATTTAATTTACTCACTTAGCATCTTCTTTCCCATCATTGGGCTCATTCTGTTCCTGTTGAACTGTCTTAGCTGGTTCATCCGAATTTTCAGGTTTCGGAGGCTCAGGTGCTTTTTCTGGCACTGTATATAGGGAAAACATTTCTTAATAGCAGTTTCCAAGAATTATGATAAAACTTTTGGAGGAATCACAGGTTGGCTGCCATCATTTCTTTAGTGGACAAGAACTACATCACACTGATTCTGGGACCAGACCTTTGAATAGAACTGTATAGAACATGTTTATGATGACTGTATCTTTTAGAATATGTAACTTATTTGTGGTTTTTCAACTAGATGCTTCTGTAGCCAGCTCAACAAGGGTTAATGCAGAGCTCTTCTGTAGGTATAAACAACAAGAACTTGTGCTGTATGATAGACTTTCAGTGTGTGTGAATTTAAAAAAAAAAAAAGTATGTAGAGGACAAGTATATTGATCTGTCCAGAAATCCTGTGTGAAATAGAGAAAAAAAATGAAGAGTAGCTTACTTACTTATCTATAGCAAACATTAATGACATTATTTATACTCCGGTGTCTGAATTGCATTAAACCTCTTGTTGCTTCAGCTGCCATGACAGTCCTGGTTGTTGCTGAGAAAATTATTATTTAAATATATAAAGAAAGATGTGAGTATGTAGAATTTGGAATAGTCTATTTCTTCATTTTTGTTATAAGTAACATTTTCAAAGGAGTTTAAATAGGAAATCTGTAATAGTTTGAGACAAATTCTGTGCAAACGATATAGTCCTTTGCCATTTAGGTGGCTTTTACGCAAGAATTTTTTTCCAATTAGTTATTTATTTTAAATTTCCCTTATGAAAAATAATTTGAAAGCTGTCATCAGTCTGGCACTTTGCATAAAGGAGGAACAAACTCAGCCTTCGTAAATACATTAAATAATTTTATTATAGAAGGAAAATGTTGGCAGCAAAACATCACAGCAAATAAATCAGGAGCCTGTTGTGTATACTGTATTTTAAATTCATTTTAATTTAATGCAGCTCAAAGAAAATCAGACCTTAAGTATTTTTGATTAATAGAGTAAAATTAGGTTTTTGATAGTTTCTCTATATACAGAGAGAGCTGTTATTCATTTCAGAGGGGTAAAAGCAGTTACAACAGTAAATTGTTAAGCTGCTAAGTTGGAGGGTGGTTATTTGAAATGTCATTGAAACAAAACTTAGTGAAGGACAGCAGGTCACATTGTTTACAGCACTTGACAAACCAAGCTACCTTCCTACCACTATGTATTCAGATTTGGGAAAGTACTTACTTTCAGGCATATATTAAGAACAGTCATATTGCTTCTTGAGTTTCAGACTTTTACCAGATGCACAATTGGTTATAGGACCAGTGAGGCATTTCTAGTATTTTTTTTCTTAGAATTTAGGTTAAGAAGTGACAATACCCTGTATAGGCCCTGCTGCTCTTACAGAAATTCATGTCTTAAACCAAATCAAAGACAAAATCTAGACAGAGGTATCTGGAGATTCCAGAAATACTCAGGCCAGAGTAAGACATGGAATTGAAGAGCAGGCAAAGAAATTAATGTTCCCCAATGTGCTGGTCAAATGGATTTTGATTTAGCAAGTTTAGGCATTAGTTTTCTAATAATCTGTTGGAGAAATGTAGCGGTCTTGAGTACGAAGATACAGTGGAGGATTCGCATTACTTATCTGCAAGATGGGAAGATTTTTGTGAGGAATTCCATTTAGATCTCTGACATTTGATTGGATTGCTGGCTTAAATTGGTAACAGTGTCTTACCCACTTAATAGAAATGTAGTTTTTCTGCAGCAGTTACTATAGCTTCTTGGGGAAAAGTCTGTTGAAATTATAATAATAGAAAATATTTCATCTTATCTGAAGGATATGCCAGGGAATTTTTAAGGTACAGAAGAGTGCACATTCAGGGAAGTGAGATGTAAGAAGAGTACTGTTTTTATTCCCGTCCCCAGGAAGGGTCAAGAAGGGATGAAAGAGTTTTATACCATTTCATTGCAGAGGTTCAAAATGCTTTTCTGGGAGTTCCAGTGAATTTTATTTTAAAAAAATTTTTTAGGAGGAGGGAATTTTTATATGGACTGAGGCTTCTAGCATAGTTGCATACGTTCTTATAGTAAAGTAAAAGTTCTTTCTCCTGGGAATTTCATAGACTTACTCTGTAAGAAATTCTCAAAGGAGCTGCAGTTACAGAACATAAAGGGATTTTGGACCTGTTTGTAACTAACAAATTTGTGAGTCATGCTACTGAACCTTAAACATTTCAAATTCTATTTAACCCTTTTCCCAGAGGATCTCTACAAATGGTGCTATCAACTGTGCTTTCCTTGGCAGAAAATTCTCCTGTGGTTTCGTGGTCAACATAACATGATGTAAAAAAGAAGAGGCATAACCCAAAAGAGCATTTGCTGCAATTTAAGATCCCTTCTGAATTCATGGTTTGTAGCATCCCAGTTCTCCCTGTCCTGACTAATCCAGCCATTGCAATATTTTTGTAAATACCTTACTTTGGGAATTTCCCTTGTTGTAATAGTTGCTCCAAGTTACATCTATACTAGCAGGAAATACAACTTGATAGGAATGATCAGAACAGTGTTATGGTGCTGAAGTTCTGGCATCCACGCTGCATTTGCTTGAGGTCTATTATGATCCTCTGAAATGAATGGTCAACAGCAGTTTAATTAAAGCAGGTTGATTCACAGAGTACTTCCTCTGGGTTACTTTTATTCTAAAGGAATTCAGTAATTCCTAGTGGGTTTTTTTGTTTGTTTTATTTTAGGTGTTCTTTGTTTGTTTGTGAAAAAACACAGAGCACAGTAGGGAACAATCAGAAGATTTGTTTAAGAAGGGCATTAATCTGAAATAAAATACCAGTGTAGACACGCTATTTAGAGTAACAGGCTCCTGAACATGAAAATCCATCCCTGGAAGGACAACAAGAGTATGGGAATGGAAGACCACAAAGTAAAAAAATGTATTTGCACATAAGCATTCCAGTGCAGAAGGATATGGCATATCAACCTGCTAGATTCTTTCAAAGTATTCAGTCTAAAGTCTGAAGCTGCTTAGCTCTTTAATGCTGACTAGACTCAGACTGATGGAAAACATTGGAATCCTATGAATATTCCAAGCTTCCACAAGTGTTTAGAATTCATAAATCTCCAGGACTAGCACAGGACTTAGTTGCATTAGGATTAGGATATCATAGCCTAGCACCACTGCCAGACATGTGTCAAATTTTAGTTGTTTCTTTCTGTGTGAAATTATGAGGGCTTTCTCTACAGACACATTTAAAAACCCCTCAGTCAGTATGCTGGCTTTAAAAGCTCTATTTCTTGGATCATTTATGTCCCGATACACATTCCATAGCTATAACTGGGTTTTAATATCACAAATGTATTATCCTTATTGCAATAAATGCAAATAATCAAAATAACAAATAAAAAGATCAGTTTTTAGAGATGAAGATACTAAGAAATGTCAGCAGTTAGATAGTAGCTGTTGAATGTATTCCTTAGTACAGGATAGCAAATGTGCCCTTGCTTTATTATACTTTAGAAAGGGAAGACTTTCCTTCCTAGAAATCCCAGCCAACCCCATTGCCTTGTACAAGCAAGTCTGATTAGTGTCTTATCTAAGCTTTCCCTCCCTTTCTGGATTCGCTGGACATATGCAAAGGTAGAATTTTTAATGACAAGCAGTTACTTATGCTCCTCATATAAAAAAAGCAAAGAGTTCCCTGGGTTTCTTCTTTTGGCTATAAAAAAGCACATTTAGCACAACTTAAGCATTATCTGAAATAGTCTCACTTCATTTCAAATCCACAATCTATTGTTTTACAGAATCATTAACAAAATATTGACTCGCTTGTATATTTTTCTTTGGTGGAAACAGTATTTCCAACACAACACCTTAATATCAAGTTTGATATTATTTAAATTAATTGCCAAACAATTTATTCTTCTGCTACTTGACTTTTTTTTAAAAATGTAGGCATTTTAAAATAAATTGATACTTAAATAATACTATATTATCTCACAACAACAGTGTTGCATTAAATTTAGGTACTTGTTATATATGTTATACAGTTGTAAACCTTAACATCCAGTTCTGATGTTTATTAACAAGATTAATGCAGGCAATCTTTAAATAAAGAACATTTAATGTTGGGTTTTTTTCTGTTTCTTCTATAAAAAAAAAGTCCTGAAAATCTAAACTGTCTTAAGGACATGGAACTCTTAGAGAGAGTTCAGAGGAGGGCCACAATGATTATCCAAGGGCTGGAGCACCCATCCTATGGAAACCGACTAAGAAAGTTGAGGTTATTCAGCTTGGAGAAGACAAGGCACCAGGACGACGTTATAGTGGCCTTCAGTGGATGAAGGGGCTACAGGAAAGCTGGGGAGGAACATTTTACAAGGGCTCGTAGTAAATGGACAAGGGGGAATGGATCAAAACTGGAAGAGGGAAGATTTAGGTTACACATTAGGAAGAAATTCTTCACTATGAGGGTGGTGAGACACTGGAACAGGTTGCCCAGGGAGGTTGTGGAAGCCCCATCCCTGGCAGTGTTCAGGGTCAGGTTGGATGGGGCTCTGAGCAATCAAGTCTCGTTGGAGGTGTCCCTGCCCATGCAGGGGGGTTGGAACTAGATGATCTTTAAGATCCCTTTCATTTCTAGCCATTCTGTTACTCTATGATTCAATACTTAGTAGGAACACAGGAAAGAACTAATCATGGGTGAGTGAACGGAAATACTTGAGGTTAGACACCACTGTTTGGAATGGGACATCACACATTACATGAGTGGTTAATGTTTTAGCAATATGGGGTTTTTGCTAACTCAGGGACACATATCCCTTAGAAACATAACATGAAACACTTAAAATCAGTGGGTTTTTTTTGGTTGTTGCTATTTCTTCTTTTTTCAAACTATCAGAAGTCCGAAAACAAGTCAGAAGTCTCAACCTTTTAAGTTCTACCACCTGCTAAATAACATATAGAGTAGGTTTTCTTTAATAGCAAAAGTAAAAACTGACTTCATATTTGAAGCAGTATAAGGGGAATGAGAAAACTGATCTGCAAACTTCCTGGGTTACTTCAGACATAGTGAATAATCTCTCTGATTGATCTTGCCTCTCAAAGGGGTTCCTGAGTATGTCTGTGAATATCTGAAAGATGAGGCTATATGGCCATGAAGATGTCGAGAAAGATAAACATAGGAAATCTATGGAAGAACAAGAGAAGCTTCATCTCTGATATTACAAATTACACACCTCTGTGGCTTTCCAAATAAAATTTTTTTAACAGATATTCTGTGCAGGGGAAAACGTTCAGAAATCAGTGGGGTTTAATAAGTCTGTCTTAACCCTCAAATTCAATGTTTAACAAAAGTATTATAAAAGTTTATTTTCCATGTAAAGAAAGAAAGATTGGATGAAGCTGGGTTTGTTTTCCTAGTATTTAGCCTTGTCATTCATGTGAAAAATGAAGATCTGAAAGGAATTACAAGACTTACAACAGCAGGAGTGGAAGCAAGATGATTAGACATATTCAAGTCCTTTGTAATTTTTTAAAACTACATTTTATGGGAATAATAGCTGCCAGTTGACTCAGTGCCAGTGGAGAGAATATAAGGGATCAGGAAGACAAGGAATAAGATTATTATTTAAAAGTGTCTTTGCAGTGACAGGTTTTGTTCCTTGGGCTGCAGCATGTAATATAAAAATGCTGTACTTGATTTGTATTTTTTGAAATACAAATCACTTATTTAGCCCTGGATTTTGAGGTGCAAGGGGATAGGTTTAGTAAAGCAGCTTAAGAGTCAGATTCATAACAGGCCAAAGGCAGGTTTTAGCTGTGAAATTTAACATTTAATTAAAATCTCCCTTCTCAGGGGCTTATAACTCAGTGGTAGACTACATAGAGATAGTTGGTGCCTAATTAGCAGAAATTAGCTGGGGTTTTACAGCAACAGATTTTTGTTACCCTTAGTAAATACATCTGCTTCTTTTTTATTTACAGGAACAGGGAAGGAGTGACCATCTTTTATATAGCAGCTAGTGATTAAACTTTCCTCTAAGAAGAGGAAATCTTGGCTCTAGGCCTTGTTTATTTGCACTGAGGTGAAATATCTGTTGTAAGAGTTATTTTTTCCTTTTTAAAAGATTTAACAATTTTGTAATGTACTGGAATTGAAGTTCTTAATTCCTCCTACAAGGCTAGTATTTCAGTTAGCTTCTAGGTTAGTTCCAGGCTCCATGTTGTGATCTGTCTTCTCAGACTTCAGAAGTGTTAGCATTCTTTTCTGCTTGGTGGCCCAGCAATTAGGAAGGCCACAGAGTTTCCTCCCACATCTTTCCAGCCTAGGCTCTGAAGATACTAAATATTACTGAAAATTAACATTAAAATCTCTCAGATGGGAGGTTCTGTCTGCTTTATGAGGTGTAATTCTAGCATGTATAGAAATGCCTATGATAGTTTTAAACTAGCTTGCTTACTTGGGTCCTACCAAGAACAAAGTGATGTCAATATGCACTCTAGCAAAAGCTGCAAAATGCTTCCGTGAATATGGAAAAAAAAATCTTTGAGACATTTGATTTAGTAGATGTAGGGAGACCAAAAACCAGGATATTTGAAACAGGCAAGTTCTAGTGAAGGAAAAGTGAGAAGGAGATAAAACTTCAGAAAAGCAATACTTAAATATAGTGCTGAGAAGTGTTTAGAGAAGGAAGGGGAGTCAGGGTGGGGGGGGTTGGGGGAAGGATGAGTTGGAAAGAATCATACTGGAAGGAGCTGCTAGAAGGATAAAAGAAACTGTGATGCAGAGAATGATAATACAGGCACTAGCTAGCAGGTGGAGACTGGACGTAGCCTTCTTAAAATCATAAGCACAAACAGAACTATTAAACAATATTTTGTGGAACAAGTGAAGCATTTACATAGCCAGTCAGTTTTGGGAGGTGATCAACATGCAAAGAAACTATAGCAGCTAAATTCAACATCACAGAGAACCTGTGATTAGGTGAATCATACTTTCATAAGTACACAAAGAAATGCAGGAAATAAATTAAAAAAATGAATCAATTGTGGAACGAACTGCTTAAGCACAGAGAATTAATTACAGAGTGAACTAATCAGGAAGAAAGCTAGTGAGAGAGAGGGCAACTGAGGAGGTGGAGATGAGGCAACAAGTAGCCAACAAAGAAGCCAAAAGTACCATGTGTTGCCGAGTGATGTAAGTGGCAAGGTTTTAACCAAACTGCTCCAAATGTGCCTCCTGCAGACTTGTCATCTGTGTTGGGAACATCATGCTGCCTTGTGAAGTGTTAGGAGAAAGGGAGAAAGTGATAGCTGGTTTTGGCTATATGAGAAGAAGGGGGTGAAGATAAGTCCTATTCTGTCTGTTGGTTTGTCTTTCAGAGCTGCAAAATGAGACTATGATTACAGGTTTTACTGGTCTATTTTGTTCTAGCTATACTAGAGAAACTAATGAGAGATCTTGGAAAGGCTTTTCTTAAACTAGTTTTAATTTCTCCTTTTAACTGATCTCCTTTGACTAATGTTGGTTGAGTCCTGGCTGTGCTTTTAATAATTCTCTCCAAATTTGTACATTCACTTCAAAACGCTTAGTCTGGTCTCTTGTAATTTGCTCACCCACGGATATTCTTATTTTCTTTTTCTAGCATCTGTCTATGTGATTTTTAGGTCTCTCACAAAGTTCACCAAGTTTTGCAGTTTTTATCTAGACCTGCCTATGAGCTGCTTGAGACCAGCCTCACTTTCTGGCCCAGAGATAATACAACTCCTTATTCAGTTTGGATGGTGAGAACTTAAGTAAAGGGGTGCTGAAATTCATAAACTACACTTGAAGTGTGTTGTCTGTACAAGTTCTCTGGCTTTTATAGTTGTTGTCTATCTAACTTATTGATATCCACATGCAAGAGGAGAAAGTATCTTGTGGCTGTTTGAAAATGAGACTTGAAGAATCTTCTATAAAACTATAGATTTTAAAAGAATCAAACAGAGATGGTGCCTAACTATGTTATATTTTCCTAAAGTAATTTATGAGGTAGTTGCTTCTATGCCAACACTTATTTTATATTTTAGAAGGGGGGGAAAATAGTTTACTATTCCAAAATATAGATTAATTAATTACATTAATCTGTAAAATTAGTTCATATTTTGGATGGAAACAACGAAATTTTTTATAACCATATTCTGTTCTGTCATGGGGCAACGTCTGCAATTTAATGTTGAGAAAAAAGCCATGAAACATTAGATTTGACTTTTTCAGTTTTGGCTTATAGTTAATTCATGCCAGATTTTGTTTTCCATTGATTTAGTGCTACAGCCATTGTATAACAAGATAATTGCATTAAATGGACTTTGTTTAAAGTTTCATTATATCCAAAGAGGAATTGTGACCCTTGTTACAATTAGACAAAGCACAAGTAGGGATTATGAAAGTTTCCTTGTACAATTTTCCAGTTACTCCTTTCCTTAAATCATCTTTATCACAGGAAGCTGAAGGTTCCTCAGTCTATGCTTTGTTATTCCAGTGAAATAAACCTGAATTTTTCTCCCAAAGGAAAAGCGTGAGGTGGTACAAAAATTTGATTTGGTGTTTTTCTCCAGTAGTGAAGGATTGAAAAAGTGGCTGCACCACTGATAATGTGAGAAAGGGAAGAAGGGACGTTGTCCAGCAATAGATGTTGCTTCACCCATCCTGAGCCTTTGTTTTGGTAGCTGCTGCAGCAGTCATGCTGACTCTGGTATAAAGAAAATAAGCTTGGCTACTGGGGGCTGGAGGAAGAGAGGGGCAGAATAAGCAGCTGCTTAGGCATATAATTCCCCTGTATTATTGCCCTGAGTTCTGTGTTCCTGTGCTCTAGTCTTGCATTCACCTTGTGAATGATGATGACAAACCGTTATTAATGGTATTGCCTTTTTAACATTATTTTAAAATTTCCTTTTTAAAAAAAAAAAAAAAAGTTTTGAATAGCTATTCAACAAAAGATTTGAATGTCAGGTAGTTTAAAGTCTACATTGGCTTTATATTTTTTTTATACATATGAGAAGTAAGCCCAAAAGATACATAAAAAATAGGTAGTTTTCTTTCTTACAGTACAAAACACTTGTATATTAAAGTAAGGTTTCTAAGAGTCAATTTACAGTAAGAGGAAACAGATAATGTTAAACCAGTTGATCAAAGTGGACAAGCTCATGAAGGAACAATGTGCTTGAAAGCTTGTTGCCTTTTATTATTGTTGAACAGTGCTTGTATTTTTGTAATAAATTATTGATTTGAGGTCAAAGGAAACTCAGAGTTCTTAATTGCTTCCACAAATGAAAAATAAGATCAGTACCTGGTTGAAGATTTGGAAGAGAAACAATTCTATTTACAGTCCTATATAGTGTACATATATTTTGTCCAGATAAGATTTGAATACTCATGAACCGCTTATTACTGACCTTCTTGTTTTGGTACAGGTTCTGCATTCTTATTGGTCTCTGCTTTCTGTGGTTCACCTGTTTTTTTGTTTTCATCCTTAAAAAAATAAACAGAATTAGAAAGTGTATATGTGCACTGATGATAATTACAAGGATGGTTTGATATCTGCAACATTCTCATAGGAATTTGATTATCCAAGTTGATACACATTGTGCTTTGTTCCTGAATGTTCTGTTTGTGTTCTTGGGCAAGACCTTCCAGCTAAGTTCACAAAAGGACTTGGATGCCGAAATAAAAAATTGATGTCTTGACATATGTTGTGCAAACGCAGGTATTTAGCCTGGAATTCTGCTGCTGCATGTTTCCAGAACCTCCTTCGTGTTGTTCAGTACTGCCACTCACAAGCCAGTCTGCTTCTCTGAATTTATCAGACTTCTGCTAAGCCTTCTGCTGGGCTAAAAGACCTGATATACTTTGAAGTACCTTACCACAATGACAGATGTCAATCTTTGCAAAAGACAGAAACAGAATCAACTTTCACTGCAAAAAAATGAACTTCCTCTCACACTTACTGTCTTAGATCCATGAACCAAGTTGTCATGTACCTTTTATCTTGGCTTATCTTTGACTTTGTCCTTGGAGGAGGGAGTGAGAAGAGAATGGGGACTCATAGGTGTTCACAGTACAATGAAACGTCATACTGCTAATCAAGCCCACAGGCATTTGTTATCCCAGAAAGAGGAAATATGACTGGTGTTTATCATGCTGATTAGTAGAATTATTAGATAGTACAAGCATACAGAAAATTATTTGTCTTTAAAAGATTTCAGACCTTCATGCACATTTTTTTCCTTTCACTCTCCAAACCAAATGACCTTCTCTTTGAGTTTTTGAGATTAATTTGGGTTTTCTCTTATTCTATGAAAGTACTTACTTTTTTCTGCCTGCTTTTATTCACAGAATCAGGCACTAAAGTTCTAATATTAAAAAAATTATATTATATAAATATATAAATGAAAATTAAAAGCCCAGTCTATACATACTGAAGGTACTTGTGTGATGTTTTATTGTAAGGGTTTCTTTCTTTGTTTCAGGCTTCCTTCTGATAATGCAAAGACATTAATGTGAGCATAGTACTCTACATTTATCAGATACCATGTACATTTTTCTTTTCTCATTAGATGGTATCTTCTTGCAGGCAGAAAATGTCTTAATCCTTAATCTGTTCATCTGCCTCCATTTTAGCAGTATCTAGAATAGTGGAGACTGATGGTGATATGATCTGAGTCCTGCGTTAGTGTATGAAATTATTCTGGCCAAAAGAGTAATCCATGTCTCCAGAAGAATCTAAATATATATAGATTTTTTTTTTTCCTAACACAGTTTGCCAGTGTGGTATCAGTCTGTACAGAAGTCAGCTGTTGAGATTCAAGGTTTTTCTTTTTTCGAGACATTGCTTCATTGACCTGAGTAAACTGATGTGCAGAACCTTAAAACAAGTCTGAAAAATACTTTGCCTGCAGATCTGCAATATATAAAGTTTGTTGAACATAGGCATTTTTGCCATTTTCTGTGGATGACAGTATGGTTATATCTGTTCATCAAACAGTTGTTTTTTGCATGTTTATAATAATGACAAATTAAATTTGAGCTGTAATAGAGTTGGTAGTAGTAGAGTAAAATGTACCTCTTCTTGATCTTGTACAAACCCATGACCTACCGAAAAACTCCAGTTCCAGGAAATTATTCAGTCCTACAAGTGTTTATGTTTCTATCAGTTTTACTGAAAACTATAAAATGTATGGATTTCTTGTACATACAAATCAAGGCTCGTAGAGTTTAAGTCAGAGTCTTTGTGGATGCTTGACTATTACAAACTTGTGAAAAGACACTTCTTAGTTAAAACTAACTTTATAATGGTGATGTTTCAATTGTTTTGTTAAGCATGAATTCAGGTGAATACCTTGGATTGATACTACAGAACTCACTTCACTTAATATTTCATGAAACCGTAATTTTTTTGCCAGTTTTGCCTTGTAGAGCTTTGCTTTAGTCAAACTGGAAAAAAGCCAAAATCCTCTCTAGGACATTACTGGGAAAAGATAAAAATTCCAAGGTAAAAAGTGAAGGAGTATCTATCCTTCTGACTTATTGTAAAATAGTCCATTAACTTAAATGAAAAGAATGAGCTATGTTTTACAGTAAAGAGCTACAAAATAAAAACCATGGATGGTAGACTAATATGACTTACTGTATTTTTCAGCCAGGAGTTATATTAGTAGAACCAAGCCAAATAAAATATTTCTTTAAAAAGCTACTAAATTACCTGCCTTTCCAACATTTATCAGGAAGCAGGCTTATGTATACCTGTAAGCCATTCCAGTATTCAAAAGGGCTATACTGACATTTTCTGCCAGCAGGGAACAAGATTAAGAGGAATAAATCAGCACATTAAATGCAGCCACACCAGTATTTCCAATTCCTCATTTGCAATTTTGATCAAGAGCTCTCCTAAGCTTGTACTGTTTCAGGTTAGCCCTGTCTGGAAAACAACATGCTAAAGGAGGAAATCTGTTTTTGGTTGTTTTGTTTTTTGTTTTTTTTTTCTTTTTCATAAAGAAAAGGCAGAGGGAGGAGGGGAATAAAAGGATTTTTTTGGTTTTGCTAAATAAAGATTGATACAGTGCACAGTAAATATGTTTGAAACTCTAACCTTTGACATTTACTTACATAAATACTTTCTAAACAAAAGGTAGTACTGCTGAATCTATAATAAACAATAAAAACTATACCTGATCTGTAGATGCCTTGGGTGGTGGAGGGACATTTTCATTCTTGCAATCTGTTTCCACAGGTGCTAATTTTGGTCTAGAAAATATTGCTCTAAGATTTTTAAACATCCTGCCTATTCAGCTCCCCTGAAGCCTGTATAGCTCTTGCACAATGAGCAGGTATATAGCACATGTTTTCTTGCCATCAATAATCAAGCCAATTAGACGCTTAATCAGGTTTAGAACTGATTAATGCCTTTAAGAAATTGCTTGCAGTCTGCTTCAGTGATTGCTTTTTTTTCACCCTTAGTACTTTTGTTTCATGCTGTATTCTTAATAGTTATACTATATACAGAATCAACAGTTCACGCAAAAATTCAGAGGAGAATGAACATATTCTGCTTAGGATAAATCACTGTCCAATATTTTTGTGAACTGGATATTAAGAATCCTGTTTATATAATATATTTATATATTATATAAAAACAAGTTCTTTGTCCTAAAGAAACCTCTAGTTTAACCAGGAAATGAAAAAGATTAATTGACCAGCTAGCCAGTACAAGATATCAATGTTTAATTTCCTTGCAGCTCTGAAATTTTAAAATTTTTCTTTTGATTATTTTTTGAGTGAAAGACACTAAAAGGTCTTCACTTTTAGCACGTTTATATCTGATTTTATTCCACCTTTATTGTTTGAAAAACATGAAAATAATTTCATGTTTCATTTTCTAATGTCTTTACACATAATATTTTGTGCACTTTTAGCTACAGATTAAATTTTAGGTGAATATACTATACATTAGTAAAATATAAATTTTTGTAGTCTATAACAAGTACATAATTTTTAAAATTGATTCCCTTAGGTTCATCATATAGAAATCTATATAAAATCAAGCATGTTTTAGTTTATAGGTAAAACTCAATTTCAAATACCTCTAGTGCCATGTAAATTCAACCTCTGTTAAAAAGTATCATTACAATTTAATGGTCTCTTCTTGACATTAATTCCACTTTATTTATTACTAGTCTTTCTTTAAGCTATCAATTTGAGCTAACAGCTTGTAACTTAGTTATGCTGGTCATCAAGGCATCAAGAAATGCAGAAACCTACTTCTTTGAGTTATTTCCATAATTACATATTAAGCAATTATATTGAAGTATTGAAAATGTCACAATGGCTACCTCCCTGGGGCTTCCATTTTCTAGTTTCTAATATTCTACTGTAATATTCTATAGCTGTAAAAACAAACTGATTTTCATTGGTTTTGTTTGCAAGTCTTTTTTCTACCTCTACACTTTTTGAGGCAGACATTATAAAAGTTGGCTGGACTTCAGTCTTGTAAGTGGGAACCCCTCCACATGCATAATTCCATTGTTTTTAGATGCAGCAAGAGCCTGGAACCTTCCTTTTTATTAAGGTCTGTCTTCTGGTTTACTTTAAAAGCAATATATATCTTGCAAATGCTTCAGTCTGTGTTTAAGCTTAGTGTTTGAATGGCTAAATAATAAATTAATATCTAAAGTATTTTCAATTATTTATGTAGGTCTGGACAATAGGTAGCTGGTTTCCTTTTGGATATGAGACTCTGCATTGATGCTCTTTTTACATCAGTTCATACCTGAGTAGTCTCACCTTAGAAAGCAAGTTAGTTCTTTTGTTACTATGTGAAACTTTAGTGGATTAACTTGGCTAATGGAGGAAACTAGTTTGTTGCCACAAACAAATTATACCTGGAGACAGAGCCTTTTTGAGATAAACTTTTCTCATTATAAAAAAGAAATTATTCATTATTAAAATATTTTAGAATACGTCATTTTGTTCCTGGTTTCAATTTATAACTTCAATTTATAATTAAAAAAGCATGGAAAAAGAATGTAGCAGACATTGAAAGGAAAGTGCCTCTGGGAACCTGTTAATAACTATTGACATCCACAGTTAATGAATGTTATATTGGTTTAGTCTGTGACTAATTAAATAAACATTTGGAATGCCTTTCTATGATGTGATTTTGTACATAAGAACCAGACAGCAACAAACCTCATATTTTGATACTAATGGAGGTATAAGTTTGTCTCCTGACCCTGGTAAGATGATTAATCTCCTTCAAGAGTTAATTTCTCTTCTATGTACTATGGCTATTCAGTTATTTTTATCAGGCTCTGAACATGCTGAAAGCACTCCAGTTAATTGAGTATCGTTATACCCTGTTCAGTGAGAAGATTAAGAGTGCAGCAGCAAAGCAGATAGCCTGTATCCAGTTAGCTTCTTAGCTAGGTTGGCTTTGACCAGTGCTTCCTAGATGCAGTATTTATGGTAAACCCTGCTGGGTACAGAGATTTCAAGCCTGTCTCATACATTCTCTAGATACGGGTAGAGTATATCTTATGTTTATCAACAATGTAGCCTCTTTACTATTTTTTTCTTGCAAGGAAATGTTGCTCCTCCATTCAAAAAATGTGGCATATGTCTGGGCTTTCCAAAATGTGATAACATTTTCCTTTGAGGGATTTATTTTTTAATCCAAAAGTAAATTTGAAACGAGGCACTCACAGGCTGGATCTTACATTCTAAACTTGCATAAGATACTATTCTCCATAAAACACAACCAATGTCCTAGAAACTGAGGTACTTTAAATGCTGTATTTTCACTTTGTGATTTGTAATCACTGCTATAACTGTTGACAGGACTGTTTTCCACCATGCCATTTGAAGCTGTATTAAAGAGTGCAGTACTTCTTAAATAATAAGAATATATATATAAGGAAACATACAACGTTGTTTGTTTGTTTTGTTGTTATTCGCTGAATAATTAGGGCACTTGCCAATGGGAAGAGATTTACTTTCTTCAGGACTGTTCTTGGAGGTGTTCAACTTGTTTTTTTGGTGGTGGTGGGTTTTAATTTGTTTGTTTGTTTTTTCTTGTTGTTTTTTTTTTCCCCTGTGTTTTTTTTTTTTTTTGGTTCGTTGGTTTTGTTGGGGTTTTTTGTGGATTTGGTTTGTTTATTTGTTCTTTTCCTTCTTTCTTGCTTTAAAATGCATGGGGTTTTTTATGTTCAGGTAATGCTGAGGAGAAATATGCTCCCTTTTGACTTAGATTTTTTCAGGGCCATATAAATGAAAAGCTGTTCTTCCATTTATAAATAATAAATTGATTTTTACTACCACATGTTCTCCTAATTAAAATAATTCTTCTAATTCTGACTCTTGACTTTGGATCAAGAACTGGTTGAAAAGAAGGAGTCAGAGAGTTGTAGTCAATGGGGCAGAATCTGGTTGGAGGTGTGTGACTAGTGGAGTCCCACAGGGGTCAGTACTGGGACCGGTGTTGTTCAACATCTTCATCAACGACCTGGATGAGGGTATAGAATGTACCCTCAGCAAGTTTGCTGATGACACTAAGCTGGGAGGAGTGGCTGACATACCAGAAGGCTGTGCTGCCATTCAGAGAGACTTAGACAGGCTGGAGAGTTGGGCGGGGAGAAACATGATGAAATTCAACAAGGGGAAGTGTAGAGTTTTGCATTTAGGGAAGAGAAACACCATGCACCAGTACAGGTTGGGGGCTGACCTGCTGGAGAGCATTGTAGGTGAAAGGGACCTGGGGGTCCTGGTAGACAGGAGGATGACCATGAGCCAGCAATGTGCCCTTGTGGCCAAGAAGGCATCCTGGGGTGCATTAGAAAGGGTGTGGTTAGTAGGTCAAGAGAGGTTCTCCTCCCCCTCTATTCTGCATTGGTGAGGCCGTATCTGGGGTATTGTGTCCAGTTCTGGGCCCCTCAGTTCAAGGATAGGGAAGTGCTTGAAAGAGTCCAGCACAGAGCTACTAAGATGATGAAAGGAGTGGAACATTTCCCTGATGAGGAAAGGCTGGGGGAGCTGGGTCTCTTTAGCTTGGAGAAAAGGAGACTGAAGGGTGACCTCATCAATGTTTACAAATATGTAAGGGGTGAGTGTCAGGGAGATGGAGTTAGGCTTTTCTCAGTGATGACCAGTGATAGGACAAGGGGTAATGGGTGTAAATTGGAGCATAGGAGGTTCAAGGTTCAAATATCTGAAAACATTTTTTTACTGTAAGAGTGACAGAGCACTGGAACAGGCTGCCCAGGGAGGTTGTGGAGTCTCCTTCACTGGAGACATTCAAAACCCACCTGGACACGTTCCTGTGTGATGTACTCTAGGTGACCCTGCTCTGGCAGGGGGGGTGGACTAGATGATCTTTTGAGGTCCCTTCCAACCCCTAGGATTCTATGATTCTTGTGTCCTGTGGACAGGAAAATCCTACCTCCATTGGAGCCCTGCTAACCTCAACAATATTTTTAAACTTAATTAATTTATTTTAATTTAAGTTGATTGTGTCTTTAACCTCAATATTCCAACATCTCCACAAAAGCACCTTTCTTTACTTTTAAGGTTACCTCTACACAGCTGTCACATAATTTAAGGAGAAGGGTAAATTAACCTTCTCTAGGTCAATGTACTGAAATTAGCTCGCACCCATTTGGAATACCAGTCTGTCTCCTTTCTCCCCACACAACACTGGAATGATTCTTACATACATACAACAGCTGTGTGAGGCAGTTACACTAGTGATTCTTCTAATTGCCATCAGCTGTTGCGCTCTTTGATTCTGGGTCTGCTGAGATGTGTGCATATGGCTAACTTTAAAAAAGGTAAATTCCTTCACTGCAATTGTCAGGGGAAAGAAATTAATTTGATGAAATTATTTCTCTGTTTAAAGTTCACCATGTCCGTAAGTCCTGGAAGACTGTGCCTTAAGTGTTAGGAGTTATATTTGAATGTATGATGTATGTTTAGTGGTAAGATGCAAGGAAATACTTGTACTTTTTAAGCTCACTAGTGCTGGAAGTCTACTTTTATTTAAGGAGGAAAAAACCCCACAGAACACTAGAAGAGTTTAAAGGACTGGTAAAAACAGTTGGCTTCCCCACCTCCCATCCCCCCCTCCCCACCTCCTCTTTTTCTAGTGTATTTGACATCATTTCAAGTTTAAGTTTGTTCTTGGAACAATTAAAGTTTTAGCAGTGTAGGAAAAGAAATTTATTTAGTATTTAAAAGCTCAATTCATTCTGCAAAAGCTGAAGAGAAGCCATTTCCCCTCTGTTGCAGA